AGAATTAAGACTGTAGGTCAAAGATGATCACCCAGTTTTGGGAAACTAGAGGACACAGGAGGGATACAATGAAATAGAATGTTAAGAAATAATCAGAAAGGGAAGAGACAATGTTTCCTCATTTGAAAATTTAAATTCAAGAGGTAATTGTGAAAAGAAAATAGATTAGTAGAAGAAAACAAAAAAGAAAAGTAAGAAACGCAAGCAGTGATATAAAAGAAGAGAGAAGCAGAAAAAGAGTAGAAAACCCCACAAAAACAATTAACCACAAAACACTAAATAAAATAAGATGAAATACAACCAAATAGGAAGCATCCCTTCAGTTCAGCACCTTAAAGCCAAATGACCGCTCCAGGGAAATTTTAACGCTGTCAGTGAATTAGGATGACATTTCTATTCCTTCTCTCAAAATTAAGTACTTTCATAAATTCACAAGAAAATAAGTCAGAGTTTACTTGTAGCTTCACTGCTTGAAAATTATTGCAGTAGTGTTGGATATGCTATTGGTGACATCGTCATTTGAGTAAATTGAATCTATACCAAACTAACAGAAGGAAAATGGAACAAAACCAAAAGGTAATTTCTATCCTTCTATCAGGGGAAATGAAGTAGAAAACATTTTTAACTATTTACTAATAACCTATTTTCATAAATCTAATCTATATGCTTAGCTAATTTGCATAGTTGAAGTTTTTAAAATTTTATTTTAAAGAGAATAAAACCAAGCAAGGTAAATTGAATAAAGCCCATCAAAACAAGACAGTGTAAGTGATACAGGACTTCAAAACAATATATAGTGACTCAACAGTGGTTACCATAATGCCTCTTGATATCTTCAAAATAACTACCCATATCTTCAGACATAATAAAATCAAACAAAACAGAACAGAATCTAACCAACAAAAACAAAACAATAAATGCAATACAGGACTTCAAAATTAGACAATAGTAAATCCAAAATGGCTACTGTAATATATCTTGTTACCTTTGAAATAGCTGCCCATGCCTACAGATATAATAAAATCAAATAAGATAAAACAAAATAAAATCCAACCGAACAAAACAGTGAAAATGATACAGAATTTTGAAACAAGATAATAGAGAATTAACAATGGCTACCACCTTCAGAAGGAGATCCCCCATGTAGACTGCACTGTGAATTGTTATCCTCTTAATAGATGATCAGACTACCAGCTTAAGGCCTGCAAAGTCAGTGAAACACTAAATACTACAAACATTAAGTTGCATTTTACCTCATTAGTTCTCATCACAGCCTGTGTTTCTCTGGATCAGCCAATCACTTACAGGTGTGGGTAGGGAGGCGGATGTTGGCTCTTCTTGTCTCCCTTCCTGTGTGCCCAAAGAGGCTGGCATCTTGCTCTCCCCCAGTGAGCCAACTCACAGGAAGTCTTAGCTTCGTTTTGACTTCTTGTTCTCTTCCCTTGCAGTCTGCAAAGCCGTAGTTGAGTTTTATAATTTAAAACATTTTGAAATTCCACTTGACTCTTTTAAATAATCCAACATGAATAGATGATTTAGAAATGGACTTTCCTCTAATTTAGAATACTTGAAGATGAAAAGATTTTCTCTGAAATACTCACCTTTGAGTTCATTTGAATTTTCAGGTACACTCTGTTTGCTCATGACCTCACTTACCAGTTTGAGCCTGCTTCCTTTGTTAGCAGAAGTCACTTTCCTGTATTCTAGCATGTTTCCTTTAGATCCTAAAACTTTCCAAAGAAAAGTAAATAAATAAAATGTCATCAGAATATGTATTTGTCTTTGACCTTTCTGAATCAAATGAGTTGCTTGTCAGGTTAGTAACTGACAAATATGTTATACAGAATTCTGGATATTATACAAGTAAATATTATCAGTAATTTCAGATAAAAAATGCATTTTGCGAACTCACTTAAAATGTACTTCATATGCAGCTTGCTAATTAAAATGATGAGACAGAAGCCAGATGCCCCATGCCTGTAGAACCTAAAGAACTTGAAGTATTTTAGCAGGAATGGTTTAGCAGTCATCTATTCAAACAGCATTGTCTGCCAGATAGAGTGGTAAATGCCTGTTAGAGTTCCAGTACTCCAGAAGCTTGTGGCAGGAACATCACTGCCACCAGGACTGCAGGACCAGCACGGGCAACACAGGGCTCTTTTAAAAAAAACTATTCAAGAAGAATATTTGAAGTTTTCTGTTTTTTACATTTGTCTTATTTAGAACTTTTCTTTCAACTCTTTCCTACTCAAAATAACTATGACTTCATCTTTTGTGGAGTGGGGAAGTTATTAAACAAAAACTGAACTGATTGTATGGATGTTCAAATCAATAGCAATCCGAAGGAGAAATAAATTTTTAATTGAAATAGGTAATGCTTCCCTTGGGAAGCAGAAAGGAAAGCTTACCTGTGGTCTATTCTCTGAACACAAGTGTTTGCTTTCCTTTCCTTTTGAGTATTATTGGGTTGTGTGCATGCATTAACGGTACCACAGAATATATCACAACTAAAACTCAGGTTTCCTTTAGCATTACTATATTTATTCTACAAATGTTACATAGGACTTAAAATGCTAAGTATTTCGAAGCACTGCAGGCCCAATAAACACTCCACATAGTACTTGACCTGGCAGACATTCAGTTTTTAAAGAAAAACTGTTTATTAAATATGCAATGACAAATTTAACGCTTACATCTAGAGGGTTTGTTTCAGGAGCTATGAAAGTATACAGCCGGATGTCAAAAACTAACCTGAAACACTGGCGAACATCTCCTCAGTATTGTATTGCCAAAATGGCTCCAATGAGGATTGATGGTTGGCTAAGGGAAGATGGAGGTGAGGTGGGAGCACAGGTGACCATCTTGAATAAAATAAAGTTATTAGTGCAAAGGTCCAGAGAGGGAAAAAAAAAAAAAAAAAAAAAAGAGCTGTAGAATTGAAGGAAGCTCTTAGGGCTAAAAATAGAGAGCAAGTCAGTGGTTGTCATGAGATGAGTTAATGGAGAGGAGATGGGACCAGATCATAAACATCTTCAAACATTCCATTGAAGTTCTGAAATTTCATCCTAATCGCATAATATTGGCTGATGTATGAAGAATAAATGGGACTGATTAAAGAGAGATACTTTTAAAAACTCCAATAATAATTGGGCAAGAGAGATTTTTGAGGTGGATTTGTGCTGGACATAAAGCTATGCAAGACATAGTGGGAGTAGTCTGCTAGAAACAGAACGAGGAAGCACAGATCACGAGACCATTAGGAAATCACAGCAATGACAGACAGTCCACTGAATGAAGGACGTGTGTTTTTGAAAAGTAGTTCGTGTTTGCTTTTCAAATTCTAAATGTAGAAAGTATTGATTATATAAATAATATCTAAGACGAAAAATAGCAATAATCATACTGCCCTTAAAATAATGAATATTAAACTTTAGCACAGCTTTAAACTATACATATATGAAAACACACAAATATATTTTATGCAAATTGTTCTCATATTTTAAAACCAAAGATCAATATGAAAATTTCTACAGTTTGTATCCTATTTTGAATATGATCAGTTTACCAAGGATATATTCCTACACTATAATATGCTATTTTACAACATTTTAAAAATTGTATAAATAGAAGAAATACATATCATTGTCTTCATTGAATTTATATATGATTCAATTTTGATATTTGCATTTTTAGTTAAATTTTAATGTGTAAAATATTATCAGTCATATTTCAAATGGCAAATTGACAAGGTGTAAAAAACAATTCTTTTCTGATTCTCAAAAATTTTATAATTAATATTGCAATAGGTTTATTGGGGGTACATATAGTACATTAAAGGCAAACACAAAAAAAGCAAAACCACCTGTAAATTATCTCAAATTTAAGAAAAATAATATACTGTTTTTTCCCTAGGAAAATGCTTCAAGCTATATTACATTGTAGCCCTAATCTGAGCTATTATCACCTAAATGTCTTAGCTCAAAATTCTATTTCAACTAATTTTTAAGGAATAGAGAAACTCTCTTAGGAACCTTTATAACTCAGCACTGAGGTAGCAGCCCAGATCCTGCTTAAGGGCTTCGTAAATTAAGAAAATATTCATCTGTTTGCAAACATTATTCAAGGTCAATTTAAGCAATTTCTAGTGACAATTTTTTTAGAAGCAATGCACGCGTTTAGTTTAGGTCTATGAATAGGGGATATTGTTTATGGCTTGTATTTGTACTAGAAGCCATCATGCCTTTTTAGGAATAACTTAATACAAAGTAGAAAGCTGAGTATATAAAAACATACATACATATTTTCAAACATTATATGTTAAGCCTTAAATGAAACTGAAGAACACTCAAACTCACTTTTGTCAAAGCCTTTTCCTGAAACATTTTGATGATGCAAGACGTAATTTCAAGTGATTGATATAACAGTTTCGGTGGAATACACAAGAACTGTTTGCATTTGTGGTTTTCTCAAGTGAGACAAATAAGGAAATTTGTTTTCTGAATAGGAAATAAAGTATGCTAGGCCTATTTTAGATGCTTTAGTGTGCCAAAGATGGTATTAAGTTTTGTGTTCATAAATTATTAATCTGGACTAAGAGGTTGAATGTATTTTGAAAACTTAAATCTGTTTCAACTGAACATGTTTAACTAGTTAATAAGAAACATCAAAAAGACAAAACCCTGAGGTCAATGGTCATTTTTGTAAAGCTATTATATGCTGTTTAAATTGGTTGTTCGGGTCTGTCTATAACATAAGTTTTAATAACCTAGCTCAAATGCAGATTTCTAATTTTCAATTAACGTAGGAATAATTTTGTTTGCTAAAATAAAATAAATGAATGAATGACAAGTCTGAAACATGAGATGTTCTAGGTAGAACTTTTTAAAATTCCAAATTTCAAAAAATCATGTGGCAACTGTATAGCTCAAGCTTTAAGTATTAACTTTTAACCTTTGACCTTACAGATTTTAACCAATGAAATGTCTCTTTAAACTTTAAAGGAAACAATGATAACGAGCGCCTGGCGATTGCTAGACAGCGAATTCCATATCGACTTGGTCGAGTAGTTGATGAGTGGCTACTCGACAAAGGTAAAAACATTGATTAAAACTTCAAATAAAAAAATAATTTGAACATAACCAAGTAGTACTTCATTGTAACACTAATAAACATAAACAATAAATTTTCCGTAAAACTAAATTAAAAACAAATTTAAAACAGTAAAATGTAGATAGTAATATTTGCATACCTTGTATAATAATTTCTATACATTTATAGACGTACCAGCTGTTTAATAATCTTACCCAGTTAACTTAAGGTTAAAGGGACTGTTAAATATAATCCACTAACTCAATCTTTGAAGGTACTCACAGCAAGCATTAACCCAAAATGATAAATCGTTCATAGATTATATGACATGTTCCAGCCTCTAAATTATTAACTAAAATATATGTAGTTCTGATATCTTTATTATGGTCCTGAAAAAAAAAAACTCTTTGTTTAAACTTTAGGAATCTTAAATAGTGGGCAATATGGATTGCCGGTCAAAATGAAGTCCCTTTAACGTTTACAACCTTCTAAGAGCATTTCGGAACGAGCCCTCATTAAAACTGAACTTAAAGTTGTGTGCATGCTATTTATGGGCAGAGAGCAATCTGCTAAAACTGGACACTCAATTTTATAATGGTACTCTTGCTAAGGATTGCTGTTTGATGGAAATGTGCCATGATTTCTTCATTGGTTTGTGTATCATTCTTGAAGCCGCTTTTTTACATCTGAAGCTATGTTTTTTTCCATTTTCTTTTGTTTTGATAGACTTGCTGAAAGACAATCAGAAAAATACTTTAGGAATTTTTTTGTCTCTGACATGCTCAGTGTAAACCATGCATTTCTTTTCAGTGTGATTGCCGGAAAAATAGAATAATTCAGATACCAATGGACTATTGCCTTCAAAACATAAAACATGTCTAAAAAATAGTATGTAGATATATGTGGAAATTATGTAACTTACAAAATTTGTACCATAAAATTTAATGTTAGATTTCAGCTTCTATAGATTAGTTTCTGTCAGAGGTAATTTTAGGATGACAAATACTTGAAATGTTAGATATGTCACACTTTTAAATTTAATGATTTAGTCATGGGACCAACAATTTAAGATCTGGAGAGAAAAGCAAAAGGGGATTCAGAAAAATTGAATTGTAATATATATCTTTGATTGGTCTTTTAGCAAAAGCACTACATTTACAATAAGTTAAAAATTTACAAGTATTTGCCAATAATTATGCATTTCATGGACACCTCATTTTTAAGCAATGAATTATGAGTCAAATGCCTCTCTTATAGTTTATTGCTCTCATTATCCACCCCATGAAAGATCTGTTTTATCATCCTTTGTAGAATGTAGAGTTCACAATCAACATTTTTGCATGTATGTAATATTATCTTTACAGGGCGTCAGCTCACAATCTTCAATAGCCAAGCAACCATAATAATTGGCGGGAAAGAGCAGGGCCAGCCCTTCCAGGGCCAGCTCTCTGGGCTTTACTACAATGGCTTGAAAGTTCTGAATATGGCAGCCGAAAACGATGCCAACATCGCCATAGTGGGAAATGTGAGACTAGTTGGTGAAGTGCCTTCCTCTATGACGACTGAGTCGACAGCCACCGCCATGCAGTCAGAGATGTCCACGTCAATCATGGAGACCACCACGACCCTGGCCACAAGCACTGCAAGAAGAGGAAGACCTCCAACGAAAGAACCCGTCAGCCAGGTGAGCACATGCGTTTCATTCCTTTGTTGTGGACCTGTGATTATAAAGTGCAGTTTTCTGCGTTTGTGTTTACGAAAATGGGACCTGTTTTTTCTCATCTCAGACACTGTGGTTCCTTTGAGACTTGACTTAGCAGATCTCTTGGTATGCATATGAAATGTGAATGTGTTGTGAATGAGAGCTTTGTGGGCTTTTTATGGGAGTTTTGGTTGTGACAGTTTGTGAGCTGTTGACTCATAGTCTTGATAGGAGAACCTTGGTCTTGGTCAGGCTGGTGTGATTGTCTACAGTCTCAACTTTTTAAGTTTTAGGAACAAGGAAATGAATAAAATGATTGAAAGTTCTTGTTTGTTTAAATGCAGCACTTCATCAAAATAAAACACAAGCAAATTTTAATATTAGTGATATTTCTGAAACACTAATTGTATCCTGAAGTCTGGAAATCTTGAATTGGTAGACAAGTGACTGTTGTGAATGGTATTGGACATCAGAGATGCAAAATATGCTATTTATGAACTATCTTAGGCTAAGATATTTTGTATGATAGTTGGCTAACTGCTGTTACGTAGGGCTTATTTTAATAAACTTATTTGATCTTGTGTCTAAGTTTTTGAAAAATAGAATTTTTAGGGCCAGGATGTTTCTCAGTTGGAAAAGCACTTGCCTAGCTTGAATGAGGCCCTGGGTTCTATCCCCAGCTCTGTAAAAGGAAACAGTGAATTCATTAATGTGGTATTGACACAACTTGGAAGTATATTAATTCAATCAAGGTTCATGTATTGATTGTCTACTACATATTAGGCATTGACTTAATTATTGGCATTGTGTTAATGAAGAACACAGAGTAGGGAAAAATGACTTATGAAATGCTGTTGTTAAATGCTGTCATATTCAGTTGTTAATTGTTTCAGAACTGTGTATTTTGTGTGTGTGTGTGTGTGTGTGTTCCCAAATTGCCTCTTCTGTTTTTAAACTTAGTGTCTTCAATAGGTGCCATAAAAACTTTTTTCTAATACATGATCCTCACTGTTCTAGGAAACTGCATTCTAAAGGAGCAAGATTAAAAACAATCATTGAATAGGAAAGGGTGATAGAAGTGGAATAGGGGAAGACAAAGTCTCCTAGGAGAAATGACCCTAAAAGTGTAAATTGTGTATAATCATAAGTATGCCACAGTGCTGTTTTGCATAGTTTGTGTCTAGATATACCTATTTTCTGGCACCTTTCTGCCTTTTCTTGTTTTCTTTCTTTCTTTCTTTCTTTCTTTCTTTCTTTCTCTCTCTCTCTCTCTCTCTCTCTCTCTCTCTCTCTCTCTCTCTCTCTCTCTCTCTCTCTCTCTTTCTTTCTTTCTTTCTTTCTTTCTTTCTTTCTTTCTTTCTTTCTTTCTTTCTTTCTTTCTTTCTTTCTTTCTTTTTTAATTTGGCCACAAAGTGAAATGGGCTATCTCGCAGGACATCAGTATGTATTTGTTGATCACTCTCTACATGTACTAGACACTGATTTAACATGGCAATATATTAAGTAACAACAAACAAAAACTCTTGCCCTCCTGGAATATTCATTTTATTGGGACTGTTACCTGAAGTATAATCATTTTGGTGATCTTGTTTATACTTGCAAGATCATTGATAATATTGTAATAATCCCTTTGATGAAGATGATTTCAACAAGAGTATTCATGAAATTATCCTTCATAAGATCCTTTTCCAATAGCTCTCTTTGGTACTCTTCCTAATGTTTCCTGAAAGTGCTGCTATCATGGTTGATTTATGGTGATTTATTTATTCTAAGCAAGTTATTAAAGTAAATCTGATATGGGAAAAATAAAATACAAAAGAATTGATAGACTGTTTCCTTTATATAAAATAACTCATAAGAGAACATTTAAGTATATTCAGAGTTGAAAATATTTCTGTGAATATAATTTGAAGTAGATTTTTTTTAGTAGTCTTGTTTCATTGGTAATGAAATTACAGTTACCAAAACTCCTTGATAAAACAGATGTATCCTAAAATAAGAAAGGAAATATTATCAGTTTCCTTATTTTGTCAACTAGTATCAAAAAGAGAAATATCATCTTTTAAAATCTAGAAAATAACTTTTCATTAAAAAGATAAATACGAAGAAATGGAGGGATAAAATATGTGTGTTTTCTAATATTAGTTAATGCAAAAAGAAAATACTTAACTGCTTGTAAATTGCCAATGAAAAAGAGTCTATTATGAACTATATATTAAATATTTAAAAGAAGCAGCGTTTTATAGAAGTAAGCAATGAAATCAATTAGTGATTACTTGGTTCATTTAAGGAAGAATTGACTTAAATAAGATTTCTAGGTTCATTTAAAAATAGATATTTTAAATCTTTGTATTTTAATAGATTAATAACAATTAAATCATTTGAATTAGTGTGATACAAATATCGTTGTTACAAGTTTCAATCGTAACTACATTTTCTTAATGTTGAACAAATAGTTTTTGAAATTCCTTTATGATGATAAATCTATGATTACCATTAATAATATAGTGTACCTATGTTTGAGAGGAAAGTCATTAGAAGAGAAAGCACATTGTTTGTTTGTTTTTTGTCTTTTTTATTTTTATCGGTACCAGAGATCGAACTGACGACTGCCTGCTTGCAAGGCAGATGCTTATGCCACTGAGCTAAATCTCCAGCCTACATTGTTTATTTTTGAGCAATAGAATAATTTTTTGAAAATTTTTCTTACCTCACAATTGATTTTTAACTTCTACTCTATAAATACAAGAGATCATTGAGATATGTAAAGTAATTGTTAGAATTATTCCACATATAGAAAGTTTAAATATGAGAGTGTTTTGTTATGCTAACTCCAAGATGCTAGACCTTTATCTTGTGGTTTTTTTTTTTTTTTTTTTTTTTTTTTGCAGATTATATGCAGCATTTCTCATTTAAACCTTGTCCATACCTGCCTGCTTTTATCAACTGTCTTACTAAATTGTGTACTAGGAAGGATTCTTTCATTTTCCAGAAGTCATACAAGACTGTTTTTTCAATCAAAGTGTATTTTCCTTGGTGATGACACTGAGCCACTTAGGCTACAATGATAGTGTACTTAGAGTGATTGCATGTTTTAAAACTACAAAAACAGATTCTTTTGGTCAAGTAGAATTAAATTGGATTCATTTTGAATAGATGAAATGAATTTTGTTCAGTCATCCTGTAGGGCAAAGGAGTAGGTGAGAAATGTATTTCAGTTCTGGAGTATTCATGAAAATATCCTTCACAACATTATGTTTAGATTCCTCTTAAAATTAAATATGCTTTAAAAAGAAAAAGCTGAAGGAAATCTTTTCTTCCAAGAAATGATGAGTGTTTATACTGATGTTTATAAAGATATGATTAATATCGTGAAGTAATACAGACATGAACCAGACCTTTTTATTAGTTTTTTCCTGATGTCAGTATAACAATATTGATGGTACTATTACAACAGATTACATAAGGTTTATAAAACTTGTTTTACTTAGAATTTTTAATTGTTATACCTTCTCATAAGACCCATTCATCTTCCATGGAACTTTCCATGAGGCTTATCCTCTGCAAATATTTGCAAAAATAAATGATGTCATGAAATTCTTTAGAATTACTAATACTACTTAAGATCAGGGAAGAGATGTCATGCAAGCATGTTAGCTGCTGAGTGCCCCCTCATCCTCTGAAAGATTTGGCTTCGTCTTATAGTGACACGAATCTCTGTGTAAATGAAGAAAAGGGAGATGCTAACTTTCCATTTGCCAATGTGTATAGGAAAAAAAGTGAAGCTGTTCTATGGCTTTTCTGATAAAAATTGTGCTATTTCTTTTGTAATATTCTTTGTAGCATATATTGGATCTTCTGTTCTCCACTTCAATAGTATATTACAACCTATACACTTTAGAAGATTTGGACGCTTACCTGTATTTTCCCTTAGAGAGAATATGGCATAGTGCAAAGAGCACAGTGACCTGGTTTCCACCTCCAGCACAAGCAACTGCCTCACACATGAAAAATATTTAGAGCTAACCAAATACACTTTTCAACTTATAAGAACAAATTTTTTATTAAAAATATTAATTACCCTTAGTAGTATCTTCATTATTAGAAAATAATTATATTACATAATTATGTGTGTTTCTTACAATTCTGAACTTTTGGAATAGCATTGACATGATAATTAATATTTTCTCTGGTCCAAATATTCCACACAATGTCCCTAAATTAATGTATATTTTTTGGAGTAAGTTTGAGTGCACACAGTAAAGAAAAACACTTGGGTGTAGATATTAAAATACATACAAAGTCATGTTTCCTGGAAAGTAATGGTGTGTGATAAGAAGAGTATAATTCACTGTAATTTTAAATATGGGCAAGCAATTGCTACTTAGAAGTTGTATTTCTCTCTCATTGCTGGCAAGCAAAAGTGCCACAGGATATGCATTTTAATGGGTTTATTTTAAGAAAATTCTTCGAAGTACATTTTTTTGGGGAGCTGGAGTTTTCCTAGATAAAAAGATTCTCTCTTGGTAGACACAGCATTAGTTTTGAGATAGCTTCTGACAAAAATAGTCCTAGTATTTATTCATCCTAAAAGTATTTATTCATTCTTTCATTTATTCACTTGACATAGCAAATGTTTAGTAGACAATTATTATGTCCTAGATATTACTTTATTAACTGGAAATATAGCACTTTTCTGTATACAGTTCACATTTTAGTTTAAAAACATGGTCAATAAACAAAACACAAATCACATACATGGGATGTCAAGAGCTGTAGGGAAAAACACAGACAAAAAGGAAACGGATGATTGTGGCTTCAGAAATAAAATGTGAATCACTTTTGAATAGATGTGCAGAAATTATTAGTGATAACTTAATAATGTCACTTATAAAAGACATTGACATAATGTCTTACATAATTTTTTCTCATTGCCCAGACAAAAATACATGACACCCAAAAATAAAGGGGAAAGGTTTATT